AAAATGAATAAACAAAAAATCCTTAAGAAATAAAGCAAGAGAGCCCCATGCCTTACTAGTAATTTAGGAGGCCAATATTAAAGGCTCAGGAAGGAAGACAATACATCCCAAATGACTGTGTATTACCAGCAATTCTAGGCTGAATCTAAGAGGGTTGCAGACCCCTCCTCCTTCTACTTTTCCCCACCAACCCTGGAATTTCAGAGTCAGTCAAACAAAGACCCTATCAGACCTCTCTTCAGGCTGATAGAAGTCAGAGTTCCAAATGTTCCCTCAAAAACTAGTTAATAACATCCTGTCTTGGTTTGAGATTTGTGAGAGTCGGGAGGAACAGGGTGGTTGGTATCTACCATTGGCTTCTGGTGTGTGCTTAGGGCCATTACCTTGTCACTTACATCTTCTACAAAGAACCCACAGCAGGGGACCTGAGGGGTGTGGTGGAGGGGGCGGTGGGAGGGGAGTGCTCAGAAAAGAACCCTGGCCTGGAGATCCAAGCAATCTCACTGGACTGCACCTCTCCAGCCCTGGAGGCCTCCCGACAATCTGCAGTCATTTTGCAGAATGTTTCCTCCTAGACTGTTTTTAGGGAAAAGATGCACCTTAACTTTCTAATCCTGTATGACTCAGGCACCTCCAGATTCCCTACTCTGTTCTTCTTTCCACTTCCTCCAGCAAAATATAGTCACCTCTTAGGCACATGTGACTTCTGGGAGGCAGACAGCCTCAGTAGTGTCCCCAGGCTCCTGGTCTAACCTGGAGGCTGACAGAAAACAGTGGAAGGCTGGGGTCTCCCCGCTTCCCTTCGGTGCCTCCCAGGCCTCTTTATGAGAGAAAGGCCCATAGCCAAGGGATGGGGAGTGAGGAAGATGCAATGTGAACAGAAGATTTGGATTTGTTCATAGTCAGAAATCCAGCTTAAGGGTAATCAAAATGCAGATGTGTCTACATCAATATGAGCACCTTATCCAACCTACCTTCTTCTAGAGGCTGAATGATTCAAACAAAAACAAAAACAAAAACAAAAAAACAACAACAAAGCAGACCCACACTCAAATCTTGACTTTTCTACCTAATTGCCTGACCTTAAGCAAGTCACTTAACCTATGTCCCATCTATAAAATGGGGATGGTAGTATTTGCCTCATTAGGTTACTGAGGGACTAATGAAGACATATCAAAGAACGGAGCAGTGACTGAGGGTAGCCAGAAAGTATGATGCCACCTGCCCCCACCACCCACCCTTCTCATTTTGACCTTATTCAGTCTAGAGCAAAGTGGAAAGTTACCTCTCCTGTTCCAAAGTGATTATAAACGTGGGGCTGACTCTATCACGGGGCCCTCCTTTAAATGTCAAGAGAAGTTTGCTTTAGGCATGCAAAGTGTGCTTGAATCCCTGAGAAGTATAAACCAAGATGACATTCAGACCAGGCCCCAGGCATAGGTGGGAAGGGGAGAAGGGCACCGGCAGAGGCGGGAAGGATCTGGGGCAGATGCCATCAGGACCCAGGGTCCGAGGGTGGAGGGAAGTAGATTCAGGATGGTGGGTTGGAAGTGCAGGAATGGGAACCGGGGGCAGGGCCCTGGAAAGCCTGTCACAGGGCAGAGTGGGTAGAATAAAGCCACATGATTCCACTCCCAGGCCCCCAGGCAGCAGATACTAGCTGATCCAGGAAGTCAGAAGCCTGGTGTACACCAGAAGATGATGCTCACCTCCAGAGACCCAAAATGGGGCCAAAGGCAGCCCAGGGGGCAGAAGAACTGGGACTTGAGCATGTGGCCTTGCACTGGCTCCTACGATAAAAGGGAGTGGCAGCAGGAAGCAATGTGGAGACCATGGGTTATTTAACCTGAGCCAAGATGAGCGGCAGGAGACACAGTGAGGACACCTCCAACATGGGCCTGCCCCCCAGTGGAAGAAGGGTTCGGCTGGGTAGGAACGAAGGGGAACGAAGGCTGAGTGGGACTGGACAGAGAGAGCCTTCTCCTTCTTACTTCTGTGCTAATGATTTCATGGATTAGTTCGTTTATCTTCTCAAAATCCAAGAGGCAGGTGCTATTAATATCACACCTGACATGATGAAACAAGGGGTCACCCAGCTAGGGGCTGAACTGGGACTGGACCCCAGCAGTCTTGTTCCACCCCCACCTATCTGCCCACTGTGCCCTGCTACTTGCAGGGTGTTAGCTGCCCTGCTCCCCACTGCAGCTCCTGGAGAGAGAAGAAACAGCCCCTATACACCCCCAGAACATTCTCCTGAGGCTGCTGCCATGGTACAGATCAGGGTGACAGAGGGGAAGTAAAAGCTACAGCAGCCCAGCTGGTTGGCAAAGAAGAGTTCCCCCATCCCCATCCAGATGGCTCACCAAGCCCACTGAGGGGCTCTTTTCTCTGGCTTCTTCATTGCCTCAGCTTGGAGGGCCCCCAGCAGCTGTCCCTAATACACATGACCCACAGATGCTTGTGTCCTAGGTAAAGAACGAAGCCTTCCCTGGGATCTGTCCAGCTCCTTGTGTGCTCTGTGGTGGGAGACCCAGGAACAGAGGCCCCAGCAGAAGCCAAAAGCTTCTTTCTGGGTGAACAGGCACATCTGACTCAAAGGCAGAAATGAAATGTCCACTAAACCATGGGAGTGGTTTATCTCTCTGGGGCTTCTTCTATAAGCCTGGGGGATTCTCTGGCCTCCCTGTTTTTCATAGGACTCCAAATCCCAGCCAGGTACTCGATGTACCCAGAGCTGCTGGCTGGTTGCTCCCTGTTCTTACTGACACATGGTCCAGCATCTTTCATGGCAGACCACTGCTGACCCAGGGTCCAGAAAACAGAGCTGCCAAAATCCCAACAGAGAAAATCTCTTGCGTGGTCATTAATCCAGAGTCCAGCCTGCAAGACAGCTCCCTTCTGAAATGCAAGATGCATCTCAAAGATCTGGAAGGGAGAACATTTCACACAGCTCCCCTCACCGTCAGGAAGTATTTCCTTGCATCTAACCCACTTTATTGCCTTCTACTGAGGGGCAACATGGCAGCAGGCTCCAAGAGGCTCCAAGCATAGGGGCTGTAAGAGAGCAGATTCTTGGGCCTGGCTCAGTCACCGACAGTGTGACACCGGGCAACATGCTTAACTTCTCTGGGTTTCAGCATCCTTGATTTTAAAATGAAGATAGCATAGGTTGTTGGAAGGTTTATATGAGGACAGACATCCAGTGCTTAGAGCACTGCCTACCATGGAGAAGGCTCTCAGTGAACAGAAGCCATTGTGATTACGGTTGTTGATGGTGCTGCCATCACTGGGGGAGGCCATCTCACCAATTCCTCCTGGTGCACCCTGAACATATCACCTCAGAGTGGGGGTTGTCCAAGGATGACTCAGCCTGCCCAACTCTATGATGAAGGCCCTCATCTTCCAGGAAGCCTCCCACAGCAAATGACAGTGTTACAACAGAGCCAGTAGGAGCCCCCAAAAGCTTGGTGGAAGACACTGGATCATTCCTCCAGGCCAGGTGCCCAGCCGGCTGACTGCAGTTGAGTTGACCATACAAAAGCCTGCACCTCCCAGCCCCAGCTGTCTCACCAGCTCCTGTGCATTCAGCCTGGCAATAAACCACAGAAACAGTGCTCCCAGGAGCATGCAGATGCTTCTAAAAATAGTCACTGCTCCTTCAGACTGTGGGAGGGAGATGGGGAGCAAGTGTCCACAGTGCCTGTGGGAGCCAAGGAGAGTCCAGGAAGGAGCTGCAATTCTCTGTAGAGCCTCCTCATCATCCCACGGCACTCAGGCCCGGGATGCATGATGCTCAGGGAAAACTGTACCGTCTGCTTTGTGCATAGAGTTGAGGGAGCACTCTGCGATGTTGCTGACACTCTGCCCTGGAGTGAGGTCTGGCTGCCTCTGGGAAGGTTGAATTGGTCTGAGCCAGGGAGGCAATACTCCAATAATCAGGGATCATCAGTTCATTCTGGCCCTAATGCAGCCTCGAACCTTCCCGGGTTAAATACGGTCACTGAATCATCAACCCAAACAAAACTTTAAAGTCACTGGATCCAAACCCCTGCTTCAGGGAGCCCTGTACCCAAAAGGACAGCACAGACTGTCCCTTCCACCAGCCTTCTTTTTCCCTCCCAACCAACAACAAACCAGTACACATCTCTTTAGACAGAGCTGTCTTGACATGAAAGAGTTTTCTGACTCAGGGTAGCTCTGGACCAAAGCCACTTCCAAAGGTCAAAGTGAACATCATCAGCCAGGCCAGATACCATAAGCCTGTGTGGGCTCTGTCTTCACTCTTGTTTTGGTTTAGCATGAAGTGACAGGAAACCAAGGCTCCCCTGACCCAGAAACTGCTCTCCATCCCTAGAAGCCAGCTAAGAGCAAAAGGGACAATTCTCACTTCCTCCCAACCAGCAGCTTCCGCATTCCTGGCCTGAGATCCTGAGATCCAGAGATGCCAAGACTCAGCCAGACACGCCTGGCCGGAGGGAGACAGCTGGTTTGAGATGGTGGAGCCCAGAGCAAACGACTGAAGGAGGGAATAGGAGAAGACTAACACAGAACAGAGACACGCCACAGAGTTAACACAGGCTTCACAATTAGATGCGCAACACTGATTCTCCCTCCTCCAAAATGCTCTCCAGCATCTCACTTTTCCAGGCACCCTCATTCCTCAAATCAAAGGTCCCCTGCCCATCCATACAGGGGCTTTGCAGCCGTGTCCTTGGCCTCTCTTCCTCCTAAAATTTTAGCTCATTTAGGATAGGAGACCAGTACCACCACCTCTTCCCCTTCAAGCCTGCCTACTTCATATTTCAAATCCTAACACCCAACCAATCCACTCCCTGGGCTAGGAAGATTCTTGCAGCCCTTGTGCACAAACACAGTCTTAGCTTTGTTGGGAAAGTATGCACAATCCTAGCACACACAGCTTCACAGTCTTTGAAGGCCAAAGCAGGAGGAACGGGGTGAGAATGGAAGGCCGAGAGGGAGGGCAGAGTTGGCCATCCTACCTCTCTCCTGAAGGAGCCATCGTCTAGTTCATCCAGCATCTTCTCAGTCTCCCTCCATGGGGACAGGTGGGGAGGGAAGCTAGGCATTTCTTAGGCCCCAGGCCATCCCAACTGGCAGACTTAGGCCTGAGCAAAATCCCAGCAAGATCCTTCTTTTCCCTGAAAGTTGGCCTCAGAGAAAACACAGCAGCCCTGCCCTGGGTGGAATCAAAATAATTCCTGGATTCCCTACTCCTTGTCACCCCACACCAGCCACCTCCCCAGCCCTCCATGGCATAAACAGGGCTTTATTATCTCAAGCCCACCACGTCCTCCGAGAGTGCTATGAATGGAACACCACACAATACACTTGTTTATTAATAACCACTCACCCCTCCCTCGGCCGGCTTGCTCACTCGCTCACCGCTGGGTCCCCCTCATACATAATGGAAGAGTTGTGTGGCCCATGACACAAGCCAGGCTGTGCTCCTGAGGGGATAGACAGAGGGACGTACCAGGCTGGGCCAGGCTCCCAAGGCGGGGGTGGGGTGGGGAGCAGATCCCCCTGTTAAGATTCAGAGACGTCATGTTTTGTAGGGGAGCTCAGTGTGGCGGGGGTGGTCCTGGCCCTCCCCATACACACATCCTCCACGAACCCAAGGCAGGGATGGCAGCTGGTCGTGTAACCTTTATGTAACACCCACCCTGTTCCATCCAGGGCTGTGTGCTGGCCCCACACAGGACAATGGCTCTCCGCAACTTTGGTCCTCTGGTCCACTTCTGCTTGAGAGCCTCAGGACAAACCTCTCTCTTCCACGTGACAGCCCATTACACATTTGATTACAGCCATGCGTGTGGCCCTTGTCTCTTATCTTCTGCAGGCTAAATATCTCCAGTCCCTTCAACCTCCCCTCAAGAAACTATTTCCACTCACCACATTGTCCTGCTTCCTCTGAGATGGACAAACTTCATTGGGTCAGAGATTCTCCTAGAGGGTAAGGCTCAGCTCTCCTAACCTCCTGGAGGAGGCATCACCCCTCCCAGACTTCCCAGAAGGGAGTTTGGAAAAACATGGAAACATCTTAAAAATGTTTATACCCTTCATTCCATAAATTCCATTTCTGGGAATGGATCTTAAATAATCAAAAATAATTAAAATATTTAAGTCACACAAATATTCAGCAGAATGTTGTTTATAATGATGAAAAAAAGTTAAAAACAACCGAAACAACCATCACTAGTGGAAATGATAAACTATGGCACGCCCATGGTTGGAAAGTCAGTACAGTGTGGAGATTATAATAGTTCTGGAGCAGGCGACCTGGGTTCAAAATGTGGCTCTGCCATTTATTGGCTGTGTTGCCTTGGGCAAGTTACCTAGTGCAGGCAAGCCTTGGGCAACTGTGCCTCCGTTTCCTTATTTGTATAACTGGATCACAGTATCAACTCGAGTTACAAAGATTCTCTAAATGACAGTGCCTAATACGTACGGTAATTGCTAAAAAACTGGCCTGTACTCAATACTCTCATAAGCAATGAAATATGATATATTTTATCCAAATGATAAAATAATATAGTAAAATATTTTAATCAAATGGAAGATTTAGTAAAAAACAGATTACAAATATAGGAGAAGAATGACTACCTTTGAGCAGTGAAATTACGGATAATTTGCTTTTTTTTTTTTCTTTGTGCTTATTTATCTTTTCTAAGTGTTCTGCAGTGTAAACATAAATCACTTTTGCTAACATGAAAAAGTACTGGTTGTGGTATGGCACCCAGAGCAGGGCACAATTTCCCCACACAGGGCGCACGGGGCAGCCCTTTGGGACAGGCTTATGCTGTGATGCCTCTTCAACCACCACATCCCACTATTGGCTCTTACTGAGCTTCAAGTCAACAACCTGCACTCCCACCCTGGCTCCCTCCAGCCCCACATCTAGCCCCCAGCCGGCCTTTTCACAGGGGCTCCTGTTGAGCCATTTCCCTTGCCTACGATGAATACAGGGCTAATGGAGTTTGTAAGGGGATGGGAAGGATAGAAGGGAAAGGCACAATCAGGGTGGAAGGCATTGGCCTTAAGACTCAGAGCCAGAACACAGTGAGCAGCCCAGGTCAGGGGCAAAGTCCTGCCCAGGAAGAGGCAGCCCTTTTCCATATCAGCAAGGTACAGACGGATTAATGGACAGATCAGATCGATCCCACATTGAAGAGGAACAAAAGGGAATAAGATGCTGAGAAAATCAGGTGGCATCCAGATGACCCCCTGCTGGGGGTTGGAGGGGTGGGCAGACCAAGAGGGTAGCTGCCCCCATGCTCCTGCCTCCTGCCTCCTGTTCTCTGCCTGCTCTGAGCTCAGCTCAGTGTTGGAAGCCATCACGTTGCAGTTCCTGTGGCTTTTCTCCTCATAGAGAGGAAGCCACACCAGCCCAGCCCATCTCCCAAAGCCACCTGTGGACAGCAGCCCCTTTCTCAACCCAGGGAGCCTAATGCTGGTAGGGAATAGGAAGCCAGGAGGGGTTGGCAGCCAGAAAGGAGGAATGTGGTGGGGGAAGACAGCTGCTGGGCAGGCCTGAATGTGGGTCACATTCACAGAGGACAGCCCGTGCCAATGCAGTGGCTCTAGTAACAGCTGGCCTGCCTGGGGGAGAGCACCAGCACGTCCTAGGCATCCTAGGCAGGGCAGCTGAGTCGTGCTTCCCCCATTCCCTAAGGCTCACTCCCCTGCCAGCCACAGCTCCCTCCAAAGAGGTCTGGTGCGCCACATCCAGCCCGCCTGCTCTCCCATACCAGAAGAGATCAGCAACACAATGACTTAGGGGAACTGTTGAGCCTGTGGCCAAGCGCAGCCCACCTCAGGACTCGGGGACAGGGTGGACTGAGCAGGCTAGAGGCCCTCCAGCTGGATTTGCTCTCTGACTGTAACTGCTGCAGCAAAAGGTCCCGTCTCATCCCTGGGTGTACAATCCCCACTTCCCAGCGTGGAAAGTGAACGCTATCACAACGGGAAACTTGCCACCACAAAGTATTTTGTCTGAAGTATTTAAGCAGAAGCTGGGTAGGTAACTCTGTCAGAGGAATTTAGAAATCTCAGCACTGAGTCGGGGGTAGGACGCAACCGCCCCGAGGGCCTGTCCAGGGCTGAGACCCCAGGATGACCCAGGGCTGGAATCAGCGGCCAAGAAGCAAGTAATTTAGAAGGGAGCCTTGGAGGAGGGTGTGAGGTGCCACCGGGCAGCCGTGGGCTGAGTTGGTACCTGCCAGGGCCTGTCTCTGTCTCTGCTTAGAGTGACTGCTGTGTGGGTCTGCCTGTGGCTGTGCCTACGCATGAGCGTGTGACTGTGAGTGTGTGGATGGCATGTGTGTCTCTGGGGAGCGGCTTCAGTGAGTGTGAGCATGTTCTGGCTGTGTGTGTATAAGTGTCTTGGTGTATGTATAAGTCAAAATGTGCATATATACCTGTCAGGCTTGGTGGGCATTTGTGTATATCAGGCACAGGGATCTATCTGACTTGTATATGTGTGCCTTAGTGTGACTCAGTACATGTGGGCACCTGTCAGCTTTCAAGTGTTCATAGGTATCTCAGGACATGTGTGTGGTATTGAATGTGTGTTTTCTTGGGTTTACAGATTGTGTAGAGTGTGTGTGTGTGTGTGGGGGGGGTGAGTTCTGATAGTATGGCTATGTGTTTTGATATGTGGGTCTCTAGGTCTCAGTGTGTTTGTTTGTCCTAGTTCTTGCATGTGTGTTTGTGGGCACATATGCCTATCTGGATATGTGTATTGTATTTCTGTTTCTACGTGGGTGGAGCAGTCCCATGGTCTCCCTGTTGTTACCAGAATGCTCTCCAGTTAGGAGCAACACTAAATAAATCTTCCATGTGCAAATTCTACAGGGACTCCCTGTTTCTGCAAAATAAAATCTAGCTCCTCCAAGCTGACATCTAGGGGTCCCCCTCGTCAGCATTCAGTAATCCGACTGCACCTGTTTTTCTCCAAATGCTCAGGATAGTAACATCTACACTCCTGCTTTTTTTGTTTGTTTGTTTCTTTGCCTAGAATTCCCTTACTCTATCTCTGCCTAACAAATCCTATTCATCCTCTAAGGCCCAGTACCAATGCCACCTCCTCCAGGAAGCCAATCCAACCCTTCATGTCCATGCACCAACCATGGATATGGTGCACCAGACCTCTCAAGGTGGAACATGAACTCTCCTGCCCTGGCTTCCAAAGGACATTATGTATCTCCCTCGCTAAGCAAAGATTCATTGTAGTGATATCTGCAAATATTTCCCCCTCTACCAGAAGATGAAAAACTTATAGTCAGGGAGTTCATATTATGTCCTTTGCAGCTTCCAAGGTGCCTAGTCTGATGTATTGCACACACAGGCTTACAGTATACATTTACTGAACTTGAGTTCATCTATGCAACAAGCTGTGAGTGGAAAGAGCGCTCACTGCCTCAGGGCCTTTAGAGCTGAGCAAGTATAAGGCACAGGCTTGAGAATTTCCAGCCCTGGGGTGCTGTAGGGCTGGGAAAAGCTTTTACCCTTTTTGGACTCAGGATCGGTGGCTGAAAGAGCCTTTTCAAGGTCAAATGAGACAGGTTTGCCAGCTTCTTAATTCTTGGAAGCCTGGTTACCTGAGAACTGACCTCTCAAGGGCTCGGCATAGCTCCAAAAGCCCCATCCACACTGGAATCATATCCAACTCCTGCAGCCAAGACGGCATCCAGTTACCATTTTTCCTTTAGCAGCCCTTGATCATCCTCTCTGCCCCCACTATGCACACACTCCAAATCCCAAGGATCTCTCAGGTGGGCTGAGGTTTGGCAGTGTGAGGATACAGCTTATTCTGCCTCTTCCACCAGCCAGAGCTCCAGCCTCCAGAGCTGAGCTAGACCCTGATTGCTGCTAATGCAGAAGGGAGCAAGAAGCACTCTCCAAGACCCAGTGCTAAAAGAAAGTCCACTTGAACAAAGTTGTGGATGCCTGCACTTTGGCTGCCCCTTGAAGGAGACAGCAGTGTTTGACTCATAATTTTAGGGCAGTCTACCAGAAAGGTTAACATTTTACAAAAGGATTGGCATACCAAATACTGATAAGGTGTGGTACAAATGGAACTCCCATACACTGCTGGTGGAAGGGTAAATTGGCACAATCACTTTGTAAAACTGACAGTGGGTACCAAGGCTGAACATACTTCTATCCTGTGGCCCCACAGTTCTACCTCTGAGTATTCAGCCAACAGAAACCAGCACTACGCTCAAGAATGATTACACTCAAATTCATGCGAAATTGCGAGAGGCCTCAACGAGGCAAAACAATCTTGAAGAAGAAGAATAAAGTCAGAGACTCACAT